GGCCCCTCTCCCGTACCCTGCAGGGAGTGGACCATCCAGAAGGTGAAACAGACTAGGCTTCGGGTTTTCGCCTGCACTTGTAGCTCCACGGGCAAAACACTTGAGCCTCAGTGTCCTCCTGAGTAAAATGGAGGTGACAACTATTTCATAAGACTGGGCACGTAAGTGTTAGCATAGACCTGGTCTATGGTAATCCCTCCTGCAGTTATATGTGCAACTATGTAGTTACACGATTAGATACAGTGACAATGATAGTATTGTGCTGCCTGCGTGAAGACTTGGGGGAGAGTCACAACAGCTTCCTGGCCCCGCCCCTCTACTAACACCCCCAAAATACCGGCGTTGATCAGTCAAAGACCGAGAGAAAAACTCAACCTCGGTTCTTTCCGGTCGGCACTGGCAGACCAGCGTAGAAGCCAGAAAGCGCTGGCTGACGACACAAGGCTCCGAGGGCTCTGCGTCCACGGGTAGATACATGGGCGAAGGGACACGGTAGCAGTCTGCTTCCGCTCCCTTCTCCAGAGTTAGAACAGGACTCGGAGAATACAGCTGTGTTCTTTTCATTACAACCGAGACGGCTATAAATATCTCTCACATCCGGTGGCATTCGTCTAACCCAAGTCTGCAGAAGGTTCCAAACACGTCTGTGATGCCCGTGACTCATTCTAGTCGTCTCCCAACTGCACTCTGAATTCTCAGAAACATGAGTATCCGCTTAAAAACGCAGGTCATTTCAAGTGCAGATCAAAAAGTCAGTTTTTTTTTTTTTTTTTAATTAAAGAATCTCAGAACGAAAAGGAGTTGCCAGAATGGAGAGCATTTTACAAAGCTAGCCTTTAACGGCCTGATTTTCATTTATTTCCCCAAAACATTGGTTTCATCTTATTTTCTATTTACTGAGTATCCGGCACAACACAGACTGTTAAGTCATTTGAATTATAAAGCTAATTCTTAATAGGAGACCCCTTCTCCCCTCCACCACCGCCACCCCCCAAAAAAAGGAAGAGGAAGAGAAGAAATGGGCGAAAGAAAATGATTGACTGATATATATGTTTATATGTACGGGGTGGGGGGTGGGGCGGAGCTGACTCAGGAATTTAAATGTCTTCTTCCAGCCCCATCTTAATGTATCTTCCAGCAACGGCAAAAGCACATTCATTGTGGAAAGATCTCAGAGGATACACATGTTGATAGGACATCAATTTACTAGTGTTTAAGTATTGTTGGTATTCTCTGCAAAGACACTGCCACTGCCATTCACACAGGATTAAGTTCATGATGTCAGTGGGACTCTTCCAATTTAGGCATGGCTCCCACTGGAATCAACAGATTTTTACACAGCTATTTATAGCCCTTGCAGAAAATAAATTATACATGATGCCAACCCTATTGGGAGAGAAACTGCACATTAATGCATTATTTCTCTTTGCATTTTCATCAGCCCTGAAATAGGGAAGCTAAACAGGACCATTAGGATGCAAAATTTTCTCCCTCTAAGGAATTTAGTGAATTATCCACCTAACATGGGGAATCATGAGCAGGTAGCAGGGATTTCTGAGGTGGTTAAAAATAGACTGGAGGAGGAGGGTTGTGGAAGGATTGTGATTAATCCAGAGAGCTAAAACAGTCCAGGGGTGGCTTCGTGGTGTTAATTACACCCCTGAGCCCGGAGCGGGATGGTAATAGTACCCTCCTCTCCCAGGAAGAACAGCATCTGCTTCTCCTTCCTCTACCTGAAGAACTTACTTTTCTCCTGAGAATCTGAGCTAAAAGGAAAACGGTGCACTCAGAAAACACGCTTCTTCTTTTCTGAGGCAAGGAGATGATAACAGTACCATGGCTCTCAGACCTGGGCTCTCCATCTTCCATCCCTCCTCACGTATTTCCTCCCCAGCCTTTAATAAAGCACCAGAGGATGAGGCTTGAGCTGAGCAGAAAGTAGGAACTCAAAAAAACTCATAACTGATCAGCCTAAATTCTTACGAGACAGGGACTATATTTGGAGACAGGTCACAACTTGCTGGCTCCATTTTCTTCATAATGGAAGAAACTGGAAGCAAGAGTCAATTCGTCCATAAATCTTAAAGGGACAAAACAATAGCAAAGACAGAATCATCATCTCCTCGCTACCAAGGAAGACTGCTGACTTCCTAAATTTTAATAGGAAGCTTTTGAGCCAAGACGTATATAAGAGAGAGTGTACCCTACAGCATTGGGGGCTCACACTTCTCCATGGATTCTGGCTTCAGGGCGGATTTCAGAACCTGGCTACCTGGGTTGCAAGCCCGCTCCATTCCTCCCACAATTCTCAGAGCCCGGATCATTCGCATAACCACCCACAGGGCTCCAAGGTCAGAAATCACGTTTTGTCATATAAATTATCCCCAATTCCCCAAGGCCCTCTCTAGCCCATGTCATTTCTCGCTTAGATTGGCAAACTTTTTACACGTTATGGCCAGGTGTGAACAGAACAATGGAAAAACTGCTAACTTCACTTTTAAAGGTTCAAGAACTCTCCAGAAAACTAGAGAGAGACAGAGAGGAGCCCCAGGGAGCTTTGGCTTAGCATTTCATACCAAATGGCCTTGAATGCCACCTTTTGGCGCAAATGTCATTGACTATGACCTCTGATTTATTGCACTGCTCTGCAATACAATAAATCACCTGCTAGTGGCCTCGCTGGCTAAAGGGTACCTGCCAATTACACAGCTGAATGAGCTCCTGTTCAGCGATGAAAGACAAGGTCACTTCCATAAGATCTCAGGTTTTCCCTCAGATCTGTAGGGTCCCTTATTTACAAAGATAGATAGAAATAATTTTTACTTTGTGAGTTTTTGTTTATTTTGTTTGGAGGGCAGCAGCAGGACTGGCCTAAATGTGATATTTTGCTTTTGTCTTTTGATTTTATGAAACTCTTTCCACAGTTCTTACTCCTGCTGCTCCTACTGACATGCCTTGAGGCTCTGTACATATCGACTCTGAACTTAAACGTTTATTTTTTATAAGTCTGATAAGCAGGTTTCATACTGTGGATTGATCCACTCGCCTTTAAAATCTGGCTTTAGAAGCTATGAAAACGCCATCTAAGACGTTCATATGGAGACACTCACCTGCTCTCTATAAGATCCATAGAGAGCTGAGGCAGTTAGCATTTAATATTATCTCCTAGCCTGAAAAAACGTATAAAATGAAACCTTGAGGAGGGCCCTTGAAAACAAAATCAAACTTTCTTTACATTTTTCCCTCAATATTTCCATTTTGCCATTGCTTATAACTGATCTCTTTTTACGTGGAATTATGAAAGCAATTTATAGATTGTAAAGTCTGGTATTTATTAGTTAAATTTTCAATAAACTTCATTATTCAATCAAGAGAACAATAATTTAGGCTTCTCTGTGCTGGCTCTGCACTGGAAACCCAAGCTGATTTGAAATGTTCTAATGCCAAATTCACTAGTTTATACTTTGACCTTTAAAGAAATTTGAATTTTGTAAAGACTCAAAAAGAATCAAAATTAAAGCCAGTGTCGTTAACGAAAATCTGAACTGTGGAGATATTTTTCTTACAGATCAATTTATATCTTTTAGAAGGCTTAAACTTTGCCTGAAATAATTTTCATACAAAAAATTTATACCCACTTTTCTCTACTCCCTGTTGACAATCTAAAAGAAAAACAATGGGAATATTCTAAATAACAATATTTAATGATAGAGGTTCTGAATACCTGTAGTTGTGCATTCGTAGTCAAAGCTTGTCACATCATTTAGCTTCTTTTCCTGGTATTCTGGTGGACCGATACATAGCACATCAGAAACGGTGGAATTTGTCATCTTCAGCCACAAATACAACCACTTAGCTTTGCAGTCACATTCAAATTTATTGCCCCTTAAATCTCTAAATACACAAACAGAGACACAGACATGCCTGAAATGTTTTGGCAATATGAGATTCTAGAATTATTAACATCTTGATATATTTAATACCTCCAAAAAATGGAATTTTAAAAAAATTCTGTATTCATATATCTTATTTCTCGTACATATCACTGACTTTATTTAATAATCTTCACTGCTCCTGATGTTAACTGTATGGCCTACAGAGAGCTCTCAGACCTAACATATCATCATTTTTCCTAACTCTCTTGAAACGGTCACCATGTCGTGCTAGAAATGAGGGAAAGATATTCATATATCTTATTTCTCGTACATATCACTGATTTTATTTAATAATCTTCACTGCTCCTGATGTTTGTTAACTGTATGGCCTACAGAGAGCTCTCAGACCTAACATATCATCATTTTTCCTAACTCTCTTGAAACGGTCACCATGTCGTGCTAGAAATGAGGGAAAGATGACAGAAGTACCAACATAGGTTCTCGCAAACAAGAATAGGACATTATAGGAAGACAGTTTTCACAAACACAATCGAAACTTTAAGATCTTGTTAAACTATGTCTAATAAGAAGTGACAAACACAAGAAGATAAAGCAGATGGATATGCTATCCGAAGGAAAGAGATAGCCAAATGCTACAAAGTATATTCTCAAACAGCAAAACCAAACACAGTACAAACTATAGACACCACTTTAGACACCATAGATTTTTAGCTATAATCAAAAAGAAATGCAGTAAAGGAGTAGAGGGCATTTAAAGACATGATTAACTGGGGCACAGTGACAAGCAGACATAAACTTGATTTTCATTACTTACAGTTCAATCAGAGAGTCTAAATCACTGAAGACATCCCTTGGGAGTGCTTTTATGTGGTTATTGGCCAAAGAACTAGAAGAAGAAAGTAACATTTTAATGTGGTTATTATCTTCATGCCCTGTTACTCTGAAGTCCCTTAAATAAAGCTAATGATTTAAAACAGAGCTCTAAACCTCTTCAGCACAATGTGGTTCAATTTCTGGCTTTTTTCATCGATACTGAGATAAAGAAATGTGTTTAGTTATACAAAGATAATAATATAAATGCTGGAGTACATCGTAAGGTTTTTGTTTTGTTTTTAAAACAAGCATCTGTTAAGCTCTTGATATACATTTGTTAAATCTCAGATGACATCTCATGTTTCTCAGGATAAAAGCCAACGTCCGTTTGATGGCATGAAAGACCATTCTCTAGTTTACCTGCATGCCCGCCTACCTGTGAGATCACATCTTGACCACTGGCCTCTGTTATTCCTCCAACAGGCAAGGCACAGTCGCACCTCAAAGCTTCTGAACTTCTGAACTTGCTGTTCACCTGCCTGGAATGCTCCTCCCGCAGATGCCCACACAGTTCACTCCATCACCTCCTTTACCTCTCAACTATCACTACCTTCCCTAACCTTTACACAGCTCCCTTCTCTGCTCTGTTCTTCACCGCATGATGGTTACTTAGCATACTATATATTTTATTTATCTATTTGATTATCGACTGTGTATTTTCCTTATACATAACCAACATAAGGACAGGGACTCTTGTCTGTCCACATCTGTATCCTCAGCTCCTAAGACAGTGCCTGGAATATAGGAAGTACTCAGTAAATCTTTGTTGAATGAATAAATTATGCACTAAAATGAAAACGGTTAAAAAAAAAAAAAGATGTACAGTCTCGTCCCATGAAGTTCCCTAAAGGTCCGTCAAAGTGAGTTCTATTTCTTATGATTCTTAGAAAGGATTCAGTAAATACCCTTTTACATAAAGACCCTCAGCTCTAACCCTCTGATAACAGAAAATCTCAATGAACCACCATGTTTAGGGAATGAATGATTATGATCAATTTCATTTTCTTAGAACGAAGGTTGACCAGAAACCATTTCGCACTTTTTGCTCTTAGTGTTGAAGAGCTTTCTAGAATGTCCTAGCCCACGCCCCAACTCTCAGAAGTCGATTTGACTGAACACCATCAACTCTTTCTCTGATGATTCAGGATTCTGCAATGCCCTGTCATCATTCTGCTGAAGATAAACGGCCACGGTGCTGGGCTGCTGACGTGGAAAGATGCTGGGTGTTGAAACGATGTACAAATCTGTGGTTTCCCCAGGCACCCTACTCTAAGGTGAGTCAGTCAAGAAACTGACGCCTGCTTTTTTCTCCTACATGAGTACAAATAGCAAAACATGTAAATGATAAACATGTAGGCAATTCAGCATCAACCTCTTTGAAAATAAGCATGAGCTTAGTCTTTTGTAGCAACATAACGACCTATCTCAGAAAGAGGAATTAAGAAATGAGTGTTCCTCCGCAGAACCAGCTGGAGTGGAAAGCTTTGAGCCCATTTTTAACTGACTAGTCTTACTTCAAGATACCAGCAGAATATGGGGACACCCCTTCCCATCTAGGTAGCCACAAATGCATTAAAATACCATTTCAGGTGTTTTTTTTAAACCTTTCTTTAAAGATGTTGGAAAATAGAGTGAATATGTAATCAGACTGAACATACTCTACAAAAGCTTCTTGAAATTAACAAAAGACATGTTTGTTCTGATTTTTTTTTTCTGGTTGATGGTTACTTTTTCTGAAAAGTAAGGTACATTTTTTTTTTAGCTAGCTGAAGGTTAATTATTTAGCTAAAAAATTTTAACTAGTCAAATGTATAGTATTCAAGTAATAAGAATATTTGAAATGGTCTAGGTCCAAAAAGCAGACTGTTTGGCAACCATTTCAAGTGCTCAGCTTAGATTTCAGAAAGCTGAATTATTTAGATGGACCATCCACCCCACCCACACTCAGTGTATAACATCTTACTTTCCACTTCATTTTATCTACAAATCCATGACACTTACTTCATTTCTAAAACTACTTAATAGCAACCCGTCCCTTGGGCTTTACAGGACTGCTGGAAAATGAACGTCCTAGATCTTACTTACAGATTGGCAGTGCTCCTTCAATGCTCTGAAACCTGATCTGTGTTTCTCTGTGTATAAATGTGAGCCTATGGTGTTGGAAAAGTTCATAAAAGATAAAAATCAGATATTTAAATAAGCAAATACAGATGGGGACTTCCTTAAGTGCAGGAGGGAACTTCAGATAGGTGATGAGCAAAACATGTAAATGATAAACATGTGATGACAGGTGATAGGTGATGAGCTCTCTTTGCTCATAAGTTTACAGAAAAAGGAAGTAAAACAGGAAGATCACTATGCAGAGTGAAATAAGTCAGGCAGAGAAAGACAAATACCATACGATTTCACTTATATGTGGATCATTTCATTCTTAAACAAAGCATTAAGTGCTTTAATTACAGCAGACATCTCTAGCCTAAAGGAGTCCATTTTAAAAGTCAACTGACTTGCTCAGAAGTAGGTTTGCATGGAAAATCCAGCTCAGTAAGGAACCCAATGGTCGACCAGCGAATCAGAATGTCCTGCTGGCTTAGTCCTGTGCTAGATACTGAGAAAAGAGCAGAGCTAATGGAAGATTCTCATGGGTCCTCTACTTGGGGAGCTCGCAATGCTGAGGAGATAAAACTTGTATTCATAACATAGCACCGACCAGTATAGCCTCAGTCTATGGTAAAGTGCTGGGTGTGTGAGGTCGACAGGGAGGGCTACAGGATGGTGACGGCAAATCAGAAATGGCTCCATGGGGGAGACAGCATTTAATCTGGACTTTGAAGAAAAAGCAGATTCTAAGAGATCATGGGCAGAAGAAACAGGGCAAGAGAAAGAATGAGAAGAAAAGTCCAGGAGTGAGATGAGTCGGACATGCATGGGGCCCACTCAGAGCCCAGTCGTCTGAGGACATTTAGGAAAATGAGGTTGGAGAGCTGGGGAGAGGGGGCCCTGCAGGTTAAACTGTAAGATACATCTGGTACATGCTGGGATGCATCGGATGCACTCTGGACCCAAGCAGGGCTCCTTTGTATCCTCTGCATTTCACACAGAAAAGGAAGTGCCTCTTACACATATGCACATGTGCTATACACATATGGTTGCGTACGCAGATGCACAAGCAGGCACACACAAACGCAATTATGTACACACATGTAGAGAAGTCCATGCACCCATGGGCACACGTGTGCAAAGCAATGCAAATATACGCACACAATACCTCCATTTTTAGACCAAGGATCCACAGCCAATTGGTCAAATAAAAGTTGACATATCGACTAACTCAACCAGTCACATGGGCTTTGCTTTAGATTCACAATCTGCCCAGAGTCTTTGTTTAAAAACAAAGCCCCTCATTCCTGACTGCTGGGAACTGGATTTATCTGACCACAGCTGTTCTTCTTCAGATGCCCACAGCTGTTTTCTTAGCAGACCCTGTCTGGCCACCCAAACTGCCGAGGCTATTCAATAGTCCATGGAGAAAACTGAAACTCTTGATGAGTGGATGAGTGGAGGAAGGGAACAACATTGTTGTTGTTGATGATGATGATGATGATGATGATGATGACACTAATAATGATAATGACACCTACCATACCTTGAGTATTTGCCATGGGTGATGGGCTGGATGCTTTGCAAGCTAGCGTTAACCTATGGGGTCAGTATAGTCATCCTCATTGTAAGAATTAGGAAACTAAGGCTCAAAATGGTTAAGCAATAGTAATAAATGATGGCCTTGAGATTTGAACCCAAGTCTTTGTGACTCCAAGCCCATTGTCTTAGCCTCTACAAGAATGTGAGGATTCAGCATCTTGATTGACTTTGAAAAAAAAAAAATCAAGGTTTTTAGAGGAAACCATGAAAACCTGGAACAATAATGCCAGCAAGAGTCTGGTGCTCTCCAGGATCAACTGTGCTGACGTTCGTCCAGATGTTTAGACGTCTCCCTTCTGCTCTTTACTGTATGAGCTTGAACTCAGGCAGAGCTGCGAGTTGGTAGGATTCCAGAATCAAGTGTTCCCTGGGCCTGGCGACAGGCACCTTTGCCTATACCAGGGTTTGATGTAAATGACTATCTCTTTAGACGCTGTATCCGTCAGGGTTACACATGTTGAGGGCTTTATTGCTCTTGCCCAACACCCCATTCGAAGCCCTCCAATTTTCCCAGTTCTCCTTTTACCACGCACAAGCTGACTAGGGAGACGAGACGTGTTATCTTACTTTACTCAAACACAAAATATCTGTTATGCCAATGGGACCTGGTTCCTGGCTAATAAATGGCTTCTACCAAGGCAATGACTATTTTTACATTTTCACAAACACAGCCCCTATTTTTTCCAGTTTTCTAAATTTGCTAAGTGTGTGCAATTGCTTCATTCTGATATGCCAATTCAAATCAATTTGTTTAATTTTTTTCTCCAGGAAGCTATTAAAGAACCCAGAGAGCTTAGCTTAAGCCACAGATTAATCCAACATAAAAGAAAAAGCTATTTGCATTCAAATTAAAGAAACCACAAAAATGTCTTTATTCCATTTTGTCCTAATTCTGACCCTGCATTCAACATTCCTCCAGGAGTCACGCAAGCCGCGGTTCCCAAATCTGTAAAATGGGGGCTCAGATTATCATGAAAGATAAAGAAAGGCTCACTAAGAGCCCTGCCTTGTGCCTGGCACACAGTAGGTGTACGATACACATCAGTTCCCTTCCCACCTCTCCATCATTTGACATAAATCCCTCACATCTTGGAGTGTTCCCTACTTGACAGGTACTCATGTGGTCCATGATGGCGATCCAGGATGATGGATAAGATAATCAAGCCAAGTGTGTGAGTAATCACCACGGGCTGGTGCCTGATTGACAGTACAGAAACCTCTAGGGCAACCTGGAAATTAGTTTCCTTCAGAGAAGTTTACAATGTGGACAAAAGAGTTAAGAAAGAGAGCAGCACCAGGACGTAAACCTTACCCCACACATTCAACGACTGACAGTATGTTTGTAGGACTTACAGGTGAGTCAGGTCACGGAGGCCACGAAAGGCATTTCTTGAAATGGTTTCTATTTTGTTCCCTTCAATGAACCTAAAGAGAATGGCAGTATAATTAAACCGAATTTTCTCAGCTTAACGTCTCTAAAAAAATGATACCGGTAGGCTTTCGGAATAAAATCTAAAAGCATTCGTGAATTTTAAATATTCATCTCCGAAGGCGAGGTCAGCGCCACCAGATTCCAAGTGGGAGCAGGGCATGCGTGAAAGGATTCAGGACATAAGGGTATGTTCTGTATTCTTTCCAGAAGGAGCAATGGACGTCTTCAAATTCAGAGTCGGCAACATGGATAAAAACGTCTTGGGAAACAAAAAAGAATAAGACACTCCACAAAGGCAGGCAATGTTCATCTCTCTGCCAGCCTGGAATGCTCCTAGACAGTCAACCCTTCTTACATTTCATAGTGCCTGGCTATTAATACTCGTGTTCGTATCATTGTCCCTTGAGGGGAGCCCACTGTGTCAGATGTCCACATTAAAGTTTTCGCTGAGGGAGAATTCCATTAAGCTTGGCTTCTGTCAAACTTTGAGTTCATCGTGTCCTACACAGTCTAATCTCTGAACAAATGGGTGACAGGGCAGGAATCCTGTCAAGATCTCGAAGCCACTAGGAAGTAGGAAGTATAATATAATTATGTATGGGCCAAACTTCTTTCTCTGACTAAAAGGTCTTAGGGCATGAGCATAGGGCCCTGAACTAATAACTTTGGCCACGCTTTCAAGTTTTTGTGGGAAATATATATACTACGATTATGCTCTAGGACCACCTAGGGACATAGAGACCAACAGTTTAGTTTATGGCATCATATTTCATGAAATATAAAGAGGTCTTTAATGAGATGGTCGAAGGGAGAGGCTTTGAAACACGAGGCGATTAGTTAGTGAAACAGTTCTTGATTCTTGCACTGAGAACGTTCTGATGTCTGTTTGTTTAATCTATTCAGTAACAGACTTCAGTACAAACTAAGCTATCCTCCCCAATCACCTTGACAGTAAGATGAACTGCTCATAAGAGAAAACTGGTAGCTTTACATCCACTACCGCCATCGCTTGTTTGTGCGCTTTGACACAAAGAACCCAGCTGGACTTCGCGCTTCAGTCTGCCACTCTTCCCACGTGAAGTACACTGTCAGAGTGTCATGAGCGCATACACGTTGTGTGTACTCTGGGGGAACGAACTCCCCCACCGACATCCCTCCTGAGGACATAAAATGAGCAGACAGCTTTCTTAGACCCAAAATGTGTTTAGAATTCAAACATCTACCTGTTAACTTCAGATAAGAAAGCAGAGACAGGGCTTTAAAAATCCCTCTGAATGCTCAGGAAGGAAATCCCATCTGATAGCAGGATTAATATTATTATAAAGTTACAAAAGACAAGGATGAAAGAACTTAAGAGGGAAAAAGACATGAAAGCAGGAAAAGGCAGAAATCGGAGGGTAAAGCTCATCGCTGGGGGGGAACTGCACATCTGAAAAGGAAAAAAAATAACCCTTTTTTAAAGAAGAAGAAATAAAATTAGACCCTCGTCAGCAGCTTACAAGAGATACTGCAAACGGGATGTAGGCCAGCTAAATTAAAAACATGAAGTTGTATCCCCATATAGGAAGACTTTATTTAAAAATATGTAACCCTCAAAATCCTTCAGCTTTATTTCTGGCTCATCAGCAAATCCATGCCCAGTTATGAGAGGTAAAAATATCCAACGCAATTTCCAATTGTGCTTACTACATGACAAATTAAATGTCAGCAGAGAATGAATGAATATCCCTCCTTCTTTGTTTCCTTTCCCCACTCTTTGTCCCCAGCCTCCTCCTGTCCCAGCATGTTTATACACAAGTAAACTATAAAAGGTCAGCACTGAAAAGAGAATAGGGTTTTCTCCACCCCTAAGTTCTATAAGAGATGCTGTTTGGCTGGGAAAGCGATACAGCAATTCTACTGACAGACTAAACACTCAGCAAATAGACAAAGCACAACACTTACAGGTATTCGAGATGGAAAAGCCCAGCAAAAGCATCATCCCGGATGACTGTAAATGAGTTAGAATTCAGCAATCTGAAAATAAAGGACAGATTTCAATGCAGAGATGTGAAACTGGAGTCACATAGTGAAGCCTAGCCTGTTTCTCTTCCTGTGTTCAATCCATGGGCAAACATGGGCTCTTCTTAGCCTAAGATTACCCATGTGATGCACAACCCGACTCGCTGAGGCTGATGGACTATGGCCAGTGGATTCCTTTCGGTCACCTTTTCTGGTCACCCCCATTACTCTACCCTTTCTCCCCTGTGGATCTCAGCAAATATGACCTGAGAGCTGTTATTTCCAAACATTCTAATGCTTAGCACAACTAAACGGCCAGTGAATACTTACGATGCATGAACAATCATTGAAGCAGAGGTCTAAAAGGATCTAATCCAACGATATTTTGTCAGAAATTTGAACCCACAGAGGTTAAGTGACTTGGCTACAGTCACACAGCTGAGGCACACACACACACCTTTCTCCTATACAATATATTCCCATGAGAAATAATAGAAAAGCTTTTAAAAACCTCAAAAGACTCTTTATCACCATATCATTTTTAATGAGTTACCACTTAAGCCTATTCGGTAAAAGTTTATACAGACTATACAGTCACCAATTAAGTCTATTTGGTAAAGTACCTAAAATTTTACTTCTATAATATGAAAAATATATTTTAATAAAACTAGAATTTCTAAGAAATTTCAGATTAAAAAGTTTTAAGTATAATGTTGTAAGTAGGTACATAGCATTTCAAGAACAAGAATATCAATATTGACTTTATTTTTCTGTTGTACATTTTTTTTTTAATATTGGTCTCATCTCAAATTTAAGAAACCAATATAGGTACAGAGAATGAGAATATGTACTCATGAGTTTGCCTGTCACTGATTTGCTTTTGAAAGCTGCTTTTTTGGACATTTCTTTTCATTAGCAAATATTAACTGACATGGACAGCAGGGTCCAACAGAGGTACTTGCCAAAAGTGGCAGTTAATGAGTGTGGGTTAGAATTCTGGCTGTGACTTTGGGCAAGTTCCTTAACTTCTCTGAGCCTCAATTTTTTCATCTGTCAAACGGGGAAATAAAAATATCCTCCTTGTAGGAATAACAGGATGATTAAATAAAAATTTGCATATAAATGCATAATATGCTTCCCAACAATGTATATACTCAGTCAACTAGAAATACTCCTATTTCCAGAGTAAGTTTAAGAACTTAAACCGTAGGTTTTCTTTTAAAGTGGAGAAACAGTTCATTTAGGTGAAGTACTGGTCAAAACTCAATGTAATCATGTCCCCAGTTGCCAGCTATGGGCATTGGGATCTACGATAAAGTCCTTGAGGAAAACATGTGCCAAAAGGAAGGACACTGAGCAAAGAGCCTTGGGACTCAGCTTGTCCCTACAAGTCACCATCACCACGCAGAGCCGGCCATGGAACATGTACTGGTTTATCATGGAGCTTGGATATTTCAGGAGGAACTGACACCGACAAGGCAGGGGCCGCTCCTCCCAGTACCACACCTCTAGGACCCCCATTTTCAGAGGGAACTTCCCATACTCACAGCAGCTGCAGGGAAGGCAGATGGGAAAACATTCGATCCTTGATTTCCGAGAACGTTCCATTTACCAGGCTCCTACGGGTAAAAGAGCAACAAAACGAACCTAGTTTTCTTTTAGACATGCTGGGCAGGGTGGGCTATCGACCTGATCCTCTACCTGTACTTCAGACAACTCCACTCGGGAATGAGGCTTAACGCAGGTGGCCAGGGGCTTTGTAGGAGCAGGAAGGAGAAGAGTCAAGCCATGTTCCAGTGAACTGGATCAATATGAAAACCAGTCTGAATAACAGAAACCTTTACCATCAGTTTATCTCCTTCCACAGACGTTATCTCAGCCAGTTTAAATCAATCTCGCCGCTTCCTTTGCCTAACTACAGGAGGCCATGGCTGCAAATGGGTAATTACTTCACCTCTGCCCATGATTCTGTTTGTGTAGACATAGTGTTGATGTTGGCCAATGAAACTCCGGGGTAGGATTAGGCATTCCCCTTGGGAGCCCATCTCTGAAAGACACTCAGAGCACTTCTGATTAAATGCACCATGAATGCCTTGGGGAAAAACTCAGAGACACCTGAACTTGAATGTGCAGTGGGAGGCAATGCCATCTGCCAGACATAACGGTTGATGTGGGGGCAAGAGGTTTGCTCTATTCTTGCCACGAGATCCCCTATCCTTTCTGACCAAAGCAGAACCTCAACACATTATTTCAGAATTTCATCAGATAGCATGCAGATCAGTTGAGCAGCTGCTGGTCTAAAGGATTTAACAAGGGGAATTCTAATTTCTGGAATCCTCCATGTTACTCAATTTAGCACTATTAGGAACCAAAAAGGCCTTCTTCGCCTGTCTGCCAGACTCCAAACTTTCTAGAAATGCAAATGGGAAGCCCTTCACTCCTGTGTCCAGGCCCTGTGCCTTGCCTGGGGTGGGAGGCAGGGTAGTACAGTACAAGAGGAAGAGCCCTGAGCATAGCAGCATCACCTGGGAATTCCCTGCCTTTGCTATTGAGTGGGTATCACCCAGCACCTTGGCCTGGAGAAGGGAGTCGTTGCAGGAAACATTTCCCAGCAGTAAAGATATAGCCCAGTAGCCCCCTCCACAGCCATTATGAGAGCTGGTTATGTGGCTTGAGTGGCTGCGTGCAGACAGGTTGAAAGCATCTCTTAGCAGGTGGATAAATGATGTGGATCCTTTCCCGTCAGTTCCTTCAGAGCAAAAAGAGCATCTAATATAGTATGTTGGGGCAGCAAGAAGCCCGTGTGAACTCAGGCTGACTTCCAGCACCTGACCACTGGACTGGGTGCCCCACATGCCCCAAAGCTCCACCACACTCTCTGTGCTCCTGTTTCCAGGCCATAGGGGGCAGACCCCACTTTCAGAGGCTGTGTGCCTTTACCCAGGTTCTCCCTAACCTGCACTGTGGAGAAGTCGGGGGTGGAGACCACCACGGCCCCAAACCTGAGGCGGCGCCCTCACTCCAGTCATGTTCACTGCATATACATGCCCTACAGCACCACCCCTCAACCACACACGTCCTCTCAAACTTTAATGCACCCCAGAATCACCTGGGGACGCCAAATTCAGACTCCAAGGCTCCACTCCAGAGTCCCTGCTTTATTCAGCGCGGGCCCCAGAATCTGCACTGGCACAAGCTCCCCCAAGTGGGTCTGATGCAGGTGGCCCGCGGGCCACTTGGGGAAACACTGCCACAGAGCTTTGTACCGGGTTCCCTCCATTCTCCCAAGGCCCCGAGACTCCACCCACGTCCCAGAGTGCGCCCCCACCCCAACGTAAAGAAACCGGCTGGGGAGTGGGGTCAGGTCGCGCTGTCCCAGCGCCAGAGGCAACTCCCTGGCGGCGGCGGGCGCAGGGTAGGGCGGGGCTGGGGCTGGAGGGGTCCCACTCACTCACAGGGAGCTGATGTCGCCTGGCACGACCCTGGGCACCCAGGAAGAGCCCACGCAGATGATGGACTCCTTGGTACAGCTGCAAGTGGCGGGGCAGCGCGCCAGCCGCCTC